TGGAGAAGTGAGCAGGAAAAGATCATATATAATCTTGCTTTATTTTCCCCACTGAGGGAAAAAAATCAACAAACATACCAGGAGGTTTGGGGAGATGAAACTGTATGAGCGAAAGGCAAGCAGTAGCCACTTATTATCAGGTGTAAGTCTATTCCCACTGCCAGGAGACTCTTCCCCTGGCTGTCCTCCAGAGTCAGAGTGATATATTGGCAGTAAACAGATGCAAGAGATGCAGGAGAGAAATGGCTGGCTGAGTTTGCTGTGAGACTGCCCTGGTAGGACTATCAGGAGGCTGGGGGGAATAGAACCAGCAGCAGTAATTCACGGATTTGCCAGACCGTGACGGGAGCCTAAGGCGCAGGGATTAGGCAGTTTCCCCACTGGGCGTTTCCATGGCACTGGGCGAGTCTGGTGGCCTGCAGAGTCACCAAGGGAGTCACCATAGTCACTCACTCCAGGCCTAGCTCTCCAGGGCTCAGCAAGTCCACTAGCATCTTCCTGCCCCTGGGCAAGCTCACACTGTATCAAAACTTTGTGTGGCCTTCCGGGGGGCCCTCTATCAAGTCTCTATCAAGGATGGCCAAAGCCAAGTGCAATGCCAGGAAGAGTTTTGCCTTTCAAGGGGCATTTAATCCATGTTGAACCACTGCTTCCTGCACAGCATCTCATTTATTCCCCGTGGCTTGTTGAGGAAGATGCTAGACTATTTCATTTATTTATTTACTTATTTTTGAGTCTGAGCCTCACTCTGTCACCCAGGCTAGAGTACAGTGGCACGATCACTGCTACCGCAGCCTTGACCTCAGATGGACTCAGATGATACTTCCGCCTCAGCCTTCTGAAGAGCTGCGACTACAGACACATGCCACCCCACCCGGCTAATTTTTTTCATCTTTTCGTAAAGACAAATTCTCACTGTGTTGTCCAGGCTGGTCTCAAACTCATAGGCTCAAGCAATTCTCTTGCCTCGGCCTCCCTGAGTGCTGGGATTACAGGCAAGTGCCACCGTGCCCAGCTGGGTTGGATGTTTCTTAACCACAGAGTCTAGCCCATGCTTCACACGTGAATTACTGCAGACAGCTTCACTGGGGGCTCCCCCTCCCTCCACTCCCTCTTCTAGTCCATTTTCACACACTGCCAGACAGAGCTTCCTGTAACTTTATTTTTGTTCTTCCATTTCCCTGTCCTGAACCACCATGGCTCCCTTCTGCCTTTTTAATCAAATTCTGGAGCCTCTGATTTCAGGGCCATCTATCATCTGACCCACTCTACCAATCCAGTCTGCTGCCTTACTTTTCTTTTGCAGAGGAACTTAATCAAGAAACATATGCATTTCTATCCTTTTAACTATCTATATAATTTGGGTATTTTGCTGATCTGCAATATGGTTCCAGTTGGGAGTTGTGTTGAGATAACATAATTTCACGCTAGGCTTTCCTTTAGAATCTTATCAGAAAGCAATGCCATTCTTCTCCTTCGTGTTGTATTTTCCCCTGAGCTGAGAAATGTTTATGAGTCCAGGCCAAAGCCTTTAAAGACCCAAGGGCCCCACAGCGATGCACCTGGAAAGAAGCTTTTTGGGCCAGTTGCTCGGAAACTCCCTACCCTTGCTCCTCTGTATCTCAGCTGAACATGGGGTGTTGGGGTCCTGCTGTGGTTCACCATCAGTTAGTTACCGTGACTGCAGGGGAATGAGGGAAGTCTTTCAAAACTTCTCTGGGAAGCCCAAAGTGGAAGTGAAGATTTGAAAAAAGAGTGACTTGAGCTTGTATGGGCGCTTAGGGCTCTCACTGTGGAGAAGGGGACCCAGGAGCCCTGACATTCTGTTAAAGGGCTCTGAGGAATTCTCAAAGGGTGCTAAAAGTTGGGCATGGTGGCTCACGCCTGTAATCCTAGCACCTCAGGGACCAAGGCGGGAGGATCACTTGAAGTCAGGAGTTTAAGACCAGCCTAGACAACTTGGTGAGACCTTGCCTCTACAAAAAAAATTTAAAATTAGCCAGAAGGTCTTTGCCTTGTCTAAACTGTGTGCTCTTAGAGATATGCCCAGGCCATGTTTCCTGGCTTTGACCCCCTTCCCTACCTTGGGGAGGTGAATCTTCTCTCTCTCTCTCTCTCTCTCTCTCTCTCTCTCTCACTTTAAAATAAACTGTATTTTCTAAGTTAAAAGAAAAAAATTAACCAGGCATGGTGGTGTGTGCCTGTAGTCCTAGCTACTTGAGAGACTGAGGTGGAAGGATCACCTGAGCCCAGGAGATCAAGGTCAGCTTGGGCAACATAGTAAGGTCCTGACTCTTAAAAAAAAAAAAAATTAAAGTCAAAGCTTGCCTGTGATAACAAAATTGAGAAAAAACAAGCCTGCCAATAAAGCGATCAGTCTTTTGAGGTAACCGAGCAATGTGATTGAGTTGCTGGAGCCCCCCAGGTCCCTACAAAGCCTGATGCCTAACCTGTTGGTCTGTGAATGATCAGGAGGACTGAAGAAAGAGGAGCCCATTGAGGTGAAAGGGCCCCACCTCAGTTTATATGACCCCAGCTTAGCGACCTTCCGATTGGTTGTTTGGATCTTCTGTCCCCCAACCTGACACCTGGAAGGAGGTGACCTGGGCTGGACGCAAATATTCTAGTTACTCAGGGTGCACACAGTGGCTCACACCTGTGATCTCAGCACTTTGGGAGGCTGAGGTGGAAGGATTGCTTGAACCCAAGAATTCAAGATCAGCCTGGGCAACATGACGAGATCTCATCTCTACAAAGAAATTTTAAAAAATTAACCGGGTATGGTGGCACACACCTGTAGTCCCACCTCCTCAGGAGGGTGAGGTGGGAGGATTACTTGAGCCCAGGTGGTCGAGGCTGTGGAGAATCTTGGTCATGCCACTACACTCCAGCCTGGGTGATAAATTAAGACCCCAACTAAAAAAAAAAAAACAAAGTCCTAGGTCCCTAAAAAGAGCTACCTTCCTCCCACTTCCACCCCCACCTTTCAGACCTTCTGTGTTATGAGCATCCCGACTGTATTGTGGTCTCAGAACACAGAGCATGATTTGGTAGATAGACTCCTTTTTCCATTTTCCCAAGGATGGTACGTGACAAGTTCTGTTCTAAATACCTAGGAGGAAGTTAATTCACTGCGTTCAGTGGACGCCTTGTCGCATTACGGCTTAATCCTCTCAGGGAACCAGGGATGAGAAAGGCTGTGACCTCAATCAGCCAGACGTGAAGCAAGTCCGCAGACTGACAGAATCCCTCCTGGGAGATGTTGAGAGCCACTCACCCCAGATGCCACCACCCTGCAAGGCCCCATGTAGGCAGCCATTGGCCTCTGCCGGCCACGCCTCCTCCTGGGCCTCCATTCTCTGTGGGGTCTCAGCCCACGCTTCCTGAACTCTGATGGCCTGACGGTATCTCTGTCTGTCAACAGTTCAGTCTTCCATCCCGAGAACATCCCAGACCTCCCCTCAGGAAATGCTTATGCTTCTATGGAGCTGGAGGGGTCTGGCCTCAGCTGGCAACTCACTCGCTAGTTGGCAACTCTCCTCCCACACTGGCCTCAGAGTTTGTGCCGCTCAGGTTTTTGCTGTTGTCCAGTGATAAATCACTGCATATCATGATGTGGTAAAAAAACATAATTGGTCTTTGTCCTCAGTTCCTGACTCAGAGGTCCTAAAACCTGAGACGTTTCCTTAGAGATAAGAGTGTTTTCTGTTATTCACAAGAAGCACCTTTTGTCTTCACCTGAATTTATGCTGAGGAGGTAATTCTTGGCTGAGAGGGTTCAAGGAAGCTTCAGGTTGGGGGTTGATCACCTGGAGGACCACTGGCAGGACTAGAAGGTTAGAACTTTCAGCCTCACTCCCATCTCCAGGGGAGAGAGATGGGAGACTGAGTTCAGTCACCAAAGGCCAATGGCTGAATCAATCTCACCTCCATGAATACCCCTAAGTGGCGGGGCTTGAGCCCAGGCTGGTGAGTACACAGAGGTGCTGGGAGGGTGGTGCACGCAGATAGGACATGGACACTCCAGCCGCCCCTGCCTGTTTATTTCTTCCGTGTGGCTGTTCCAGAGTTGTGTCCTTTATAATAAGCCAGGAATGGTGAGCAAACCGTTTTCTTCAGTTCTATGAGTTGTTCCAGCAACTTATCAAACCTGAAAGGGGATCGTGAGAACCCCTGAATTTGTAGTCAGTCAGGAAGAAATGTGGGCAGCCTGGGCTCCCCATTTGCAGCTGGCATCTGAAGGAGGGCAGTCTTGTGGAACTGAGCCCTTTAACTTGCAAGATTTGAAGCTAACTCTGGGTAAATCATGTCCAAATTGAACTGAATTGTTGGACAGCTGTTTGACGTTAAAGAATTGGTCGAGCCGGGCTCGGTGGCTCAGCCTGTAATCCCGCGCCTTGGGAGGCTGAGGTGAGTGGATTGCCTGAGCCTGCGGGTTCAAGACCCGCCTGGGCAACTTGGCGAGACCTCATCTCTACAATAAATCAAAAAATTAGCCGGGTGTGGTAGCGCATGCCTGTAGTTCCAGCTACTTGGAAGGCTGAGGCGGAAGGATCGCCGGAGCCCAGCAGGTCAAGGCTGCAGTGGCTGGGAGCAGCCACTGCACTCCAGTCTGGGCGACAGAGTGAGACTCCAACTCAAAAAAAAAAAAGAATTGGCCTGAATGTGGTGGCTCATACCTGTAATCCCAGAACTTTGAGAGGCTGAGGCAGGAGGATTGCTTGAGCCCAGGAGTTCAAGACCAGCCTGGGCAACATAGCAAGACCTCGTCTCTACAAAAAATAAAAAAATTAGCCGAGTGTGGTGGTGCATACCTGTAGCCCCAGCTACTTGGGAGGTTGAAGCAGGAAGATTGCTTGAGCTTGAGAGGTCAGGGCTGTGGTGAGCCATGATTGTGCCACTGTACGCCAGTCTGGGAAACAGAGTGAGACCAACTCAAAAAAAAAGAATTGGTTTCTGTGAGGGAAACCCCCCTACTGCGTGCACACACACGTTTAATGTCAGAAAGAATCTGAGACCTGGACTTCTAGGGATGCTTGGAGATATTCAAAACTGGGCGAGTTCATTCATCCATCAAGGGTGTGGATTTTATCAAAAGCTTTATTTCTCCAAAATAGATCCTTTGTTGTGTATTTGGAAATTATTTAAGCTTCATGTTACCACTTTGCCTTGTTCCCTCTCCACGCCCCTCTTCACTCCACCCCCCAAAACAACCCTCCCCCCATCTCTGCACTTGGCTCTTGCTCGCTTCAAGTTCTGTATGCCTGAAGGTTACCTGGGCAAGGAAACCATTGGTGGTTTACTTGCCAAGACGGTGCAGCTTCAATGTGAGAAAGTTTATTTTGTTTTTCTTTGGTTCACAGAACACATTTAACATCGTTTCCACGAAAGCTTCTCTGGATGTGTTTCTGCCCAATGGACAGAGTATCAAAGTCGAAATTCTAACATCGGCTACTGCTGAAAGAGTCCTAGAGGTAGACTTTGTCCAAACTCTAGCTCTAAAATTGAATTCAGGAATAATTCTGTTTGACAAGCAGAGACTAGGCTATGGTTACCTTCCAGAAGCTTCCTGCCTGTTGTTTCACACTGTGGATGATTGATCTGCAGAGGTACTGGCATTTTCTGGGAGATGGACCAAGGAGCCACCAGAGCCTCTTTGATCTCATCTTCCCTAGGGGCACCCATTTCCCAGAGATCTCTTGGGTCCTCCCAGGGTTACTGTCATTTCCCTGGAACTTAACCAGGGATGTGGCCTGAAAACATGGAAAATGTTTTCGCATAAGACATGTCATGATTGGGAGCAGGAAAGAGGCTGGAACCTGGCAGAGTCTGAAACAGGCTGTACCTAGGTGGGCGGGGTGATAGGTCCTGGCAGAGGGTGACAGGATTTCTTAAAGGCCTATCTTCCCCCATGGGAAAATCCCTGAACCCAGTGCCCCATCAAGTCTGATCCTGGGCGCAGAGGGACAGATCTGAGTTTTAGTGTGCTCTCTGGGGACTAACAAAGAGGAGACCCAGAAAGCTCCCCTTCTTCAGATTCAGCTGTCACCTTCCAGGCCCTTCTTCCTCCTGTGCAGAGTTGCAGAAGGGTTTTCCCAGAACCACAAGCTGCTCCTGAGAGGGCTGGCTCCCTGGTCCTTTCCCTGGGAGGGTTTTAGTTCTAATCTTCCTGAGAAACATACCAGGGAGAATACAAAATTATAAACATGAAGAAGCCGGGAAGTTTCTAAGATCTTTCAAAGGACAGAACATTCTTGTGCTGCGGTTATGGTACCTGACCCCTCCCCAGCTGGGGCACCAAAGTGCTTCCATTGGGCCGTGGGCTCTCAGGCCTGCCTCCACCCAAGGCCATGATCAGACTCCTCTTCCTAGCCTGGGAGTCCAAGCCCGCGTGTGTCCTCCTGGCCTCAGCGGAGCAGTCTGCATCCCCAAATTAGGAAACACCTCTTCTCTGGGTCTTTCTTTTTTTTTTGAGTTGGAGTCTCATTCTGTCACCTAGGTTGGCACAAGCATGGCTCACTGCAACCTCGACCTGCTGGGCTCTGGCGATTCTTCTGCCTCAGCCTCCTGTGTAGCTGAGACTACAGGCACGCGCCATCACGCCCAGCTAATTTTTAAAACATTTATTGTAGAGATGAGGTATTGCCAAGTTGCCCAGGCTGGTCTCAAACTCCTAAGCTCAGGCAGTCCTTCCGCATTTGCCTCCCAAAGTGCTGAAATTACAGGTGTAAGCCACTGCACATGGCCAGGAATGATTATTTTGAACCCTTCTTCCTACTAAGGTCATCATACACACCCTGCCCCAAGTTTTCTTGGCTTCTGTGTTCCCGACATGGTTGAATGGTAGCAGTGACACCTGGCTGCTGAGGCCGGCCATTGAGAGGTTCTAGGCTTCTCCTTCATCCCCGTGTCCTGCTGATCCTGTATCTCAAACCTCTCCCATATCCGTCACCTCTCCATTTTCTCATCCCGATCCCCACGCCCCAATCTTAGCTCCAGCCCTCGTTATTTTTCAGCTGAATTTCTGCAGTTGCCCCTAAACTAGTCGCCCTGCTTCCAGTCTTGCTCATCATCTGTACTGATTTCCAGAATTATCTTTCTGAAAAGCCTCAAAGGCCCTTGATGCTTGAGGGGGTTTGTACACCCCAAAAAACAAAAACACAGTTCCCTATGACCCCAGTGTGGTGTGCACCTGCAGTCCCAGCTACTCAGGGCACTGAGGTAGGAGGATCACTTGAGCCCGGAAGTTTGAATCCAGACTGTGAAACACAGTAAGACCCCATCTCACCAAAAAATGGTTAAGGTAGTGAAATGGGTTTCACTTGAAGAAAAGAACAACAACTCTACGGTTCTCTATTTTACCCAGAGCCTACAAAGTGGGAGACAGACACACAAAGGAAGGAGGAAGAGGTCAGTAAGGGTGAGACTGGGAGCTGCAAACTCAGCTGCACCTGGAGTCAGGCAGGTAGCTCGGGTGCAGCTGCAGGATGAAAGAGAATTTGGAAATGGCTGGGACTGTGGAGAAACAGAGAGCAGCTGCCCTGCCCAGACATCATCATGGACGTATTTTTCACACACTGGGCTATCTGGCCAAATTAGACACATCTGCAGCCAAGAGTGGTGGTGGCAGTTTGGGGTTTCCCATCTGCTGGGTTTAGGATAAACCCTTGGATTTAAATTTCAGTCATGCACCACATAATGATGTTTCAGTTCATTATGTGACTGAACATGTGACAGACTATATTACCATATTCCTATTGTACCTTTTTTTTTTAGTTGGGGTCTCACTCTGTCACCCACACTGGAGTGCAGTGGCACAATCATGGCTCACCACAGCCTCAACCTCCTGGGTTTGGACAATCTTTCCTCCTTACCCTCCTGAGTAACTGGGAATACAGGCACCATGCCTGACTGATTTTATTTTTTTAATAGAGATAAGGTCTTGCTATGTGGCCCAGGCTGATCTTGTACTCCCAGGCTCAAACAATCCTCTCACTTCAGCCTCCCAAAGGGCCGGGACTACAGGCGTGAGCCACCATGCCCGGCCTCCTGTACCTTTCTGTGCTTAGATGTTTAGATACACAATACCACTGTGCTACTATTGCCTTCAGTATTCAGTATTCAGTACAGCAAACCTTGACCTGCTGTCCAGGTGTGTAGCCCAGGGGCAATACGCTACGCTATACCATATATCTTAGGTTGTAGTAGGCTAGAACATCTAGGCTTGTGAAGTACACTCTGTGATGTCCACACACAATCCAATCACCTAGCGTCTCATGTCTCAGAACATATCCCCATCATTAAATGGCACATGACTATGTAGTGCTGCCATGTAGTCACTGTGTGAGTTTGGATGTTACTTTACCTTTCAACACAGTGTCTAATTGATTATAAAAATAGTTCATGTTCCATAAACAGTGGCAGTTATGGCTATTGATCATTACTGATTAGAGAGCGTGCTGAATAGGTACTGAGCAGAGAGCAGTCCCTCCAGGGTTCCTCAGTACCAATGGCTTTGTCCATTTCCCTTGAAACTAACAGTATACATGTGATGAGGTACATTCGCAGTCTTAGGAAAATGTGCTTTTCCTCTTCCAATCACTTTGGCTTGTGAGAAATTCAAACCCAGGACACTGACATCCTCCGACCAGGTAAGTTAAGCTGAAGGCTCTACCCTAGAAGTGGCAGAGTTTCCATGAAAGGTGGACGAGCACTTGGCCAGCACACATGTGAATTTCCTTCCCGGAGCTGGAGTTCTGTGGCTGGCATGAAACTGTAATTTAAATTTTGTGATAACTAAAAACCATCTTATGCACCTTCTCAAGCATACTTACTGTCATTCTGACTTTGTTTCCTCGTTTGCCTCACCCCACTTCCTGCCTTCTACTTTGTAGTGGGCACTTTAAGGCTAAGTGACAAGCTAAAATTTAGTGCTACTGAGTGCTAGTGGTGATGTTTGGGTTAACATTTGCAAAGAGGAAAAAGTATTATTATGTCTCTTTTTGCTGAAGTTCACTGTCTCAAAGGAAAGTGTTTGCATTTGTCTTTTTACATTTTTTGAGTTGAAGTCTCATTCTGTCACCCAGGCTAGAGTGTAGTGGCCACAGCCTCTACCTGCTGGGTTCAGGTGATCCTCCTGTCTCATCCTTCTCAGTAGCTGGGACTACAGGCACACACCACCATGCCTGGCTAATTTTTGACTTTTTGTAGAGATGAGGTCTCACTCTGTTACCCAGGCTCATCTTGAACACCTGGGCTCAAGCAATCCTTCCTCCTCAGCCTCCCAAGATGTGGGATTATAGGCATGAGCCACTGCACCCAGCCTATGTCTTTATAAATTCTAAAAGGCTTCTCCCTTCCCCTTTTATCTCTATCTTCTCTGCCTTGACAGGTAACCTTGTTGTTGTTTTTTTCTTTTTCTTTCTTTTTTCTTTTTTTTGAGTAGGAGTCTCTCTGTTGCCCAGGCTGGAGTGCTGTGGCATGCTCACAGCCACCGCAGCCTCTACCTGGTGTGCTCAGGTGATCCTTCTATCTCAGTCTTCCAAGTAACTGGAACCACAGGCACGCGCCACCACACCTGGCTAAATTTTTTTTTTTAATTGTACAGATGAGGTCTCATCATGTTGTCCAGACTGATCTTGAACCTGTGGGCTCAGGTAATCCTCTCACCTCCGTATCCCAAAGTGCCGGGATTCTAGGCATGAGCCATGGCACCCAGCAATCTTGTTTCCACTAAATGATCAGAAAGGAGAGTGATCTGATGTAGGTGGACACAGGTCGGATTTACTCCAGGAAAGACGTCTTTACTATTCTATTAGCTACCACTCACAATCACTCCCACACACAGAAGAGCCCTGTGTTTTGCTTTTGGGTGTTTTTCAAGGATGTGGGAGAAAGAGTGAGATAGAAAAATGCGTAACAGAAATCGCATTGAGTGGCAGTGGTGAAATGATTCCTAGGCTATTATTTGTTTTCAAAGTGAAGGACACCCACTCATACCAGCCACCTGATCAGATTGCCTCGTGGGTAGTTGTCAGATCTCTGACAAGAAAAGCATCCCTTCAAGCCTGGTGTTTGTACCACTTCCACCTAGAGAACCGGGAGCCAGGATAAAGCATCACTCCCGTATCATGCGTGTTAGGAGGTGAGTTAGTGAGTTCCAATTGGAAGTGCAAGGAAATTACTAAAGAGCCCAGTTGTAATTACAGAGGGGCCAGGTTGTGTGGGTGGCGGGGAGGTGACCTGTGAATGTACAACCTGGTGAGCTTCCAGCCTGGTGAGCCCATGGTAACAATGAGACACTGGTGTTGAAATGAAAGCCACTTGATGTAAAGATCAAAGAGGGATGTGGAGCAAAGGCAGCTGTGTCTGGGATGGCAGGTTTTCACTGAGTAGACGTCATAGTGAGTTACACTTGACCGTCATAGGCCATAGCAAGGAGAAGCCAGTCTGACACGCCCCCCCCTGGACAGTAGCATGTGAATGTTTGTATGCCAATCAAGCCATGGGGAGCGACCTTTCCAAACACCTGGTAATTCAGCCCACGGGAAGGGACATGAGTGTGCAGGCTCCAGGGGCTGACATCACAGAAGGACCAGTGTTCCCAGAGAGTGGCCACTGTCCTCCAGGGCACAATAAAGACCCACATGATCTAGGAGACACGTCCACATCTGAGACGGGACAACTAGTGTCGATTGAGTCCAGTCTCTGTCCATCATGGTGGTACTGATTTTTTGTTTTCTTTTCTTCCTTTTTTATTTCCTGTTGCCCAGGCTGGAGTGCGGTAGCACAATCACGGCTCACCACAGCTTCGACCTTCTGGGCTCAGACAGTCTTTCTGACTCAGCCTCCCAAGTAGCTGGGACTACAGGCGCACGTGCCACAACACCTAACTAATTTTTTTACTTTTATAGAGACAAGGTTTCGCTATGTTGCCTAGGCTGACCTTGAACTCCGGAGCTCAAGCAATCCTCTCATCTCAGCATCCCAAAGTGCTGGGATTACAGGCAAACACCACCATGCCCAGTCTTGATTTTTTCCTTCACTCTAACTTTTTGTGTTTCGACTTTTTCTAAAACGAGTATGTACCATTTTGAGACTTCTTCCTTTGAATGTCCCCTCATGCAGGAAAGCACTTTTTATTGATGTGTCCTGGCAATTTCCAATGCTGTACATCACTGGAGCACAACAGGCACTCCTAACTTGCCCCCTTTTGTTCATCTTTGGTTAAAGGTGGTGTCACACAAGATTGGACTGTGTCGGGAGCTCATGGGCTACTTCGGCCTCTTTCTCATTCGGTTTTGCAAGGAGGGCAAGCTCTCTGGTAAGAAGGAAAGAAGGAACAAGGTTAGCCAGCGGACGGGGTGGGCGGGTGTGAGCAGGGGCTTGGCCCAGGAGTTGTGGGCATCACAGCTGAGGGGCCAGCCAGCCGCTTAGGGTGTGGTCCCTACTACTGTTCCCAGCCCCTGAATCAAAGGTTTGGGGAATGGTGGTTGCGTCCTTGTTTAGGGAGAACTAGGGTCAAGTCGCTCCCCAGAGGCAGTATGGTCAGGAACCAGGCCTCGGTTCTGCCAGTAACTGCACTTTCCCTTGTGCATTTCCCAGTCCCGATCCTGATGTCCCTATCACCTTTGCCCCGGGCCTGCCCCTGACCACCAGCCAGTACACCCTGCTGTGGTAGGGAGTGCTCTACTCCAGGTGACAGGATTCCCCACCACAGTGCAACTTCTCCTCATTAAGGAATATCTGGCCAGGCTCGGTGGCTCAGCCTGTAATCCCGTGACTTGGGAGGCTGAGGTGAGTGGATTG